CCAGAGACCATACAAAGAGCACCCACACCAGTGTTTCACAATATAGTCCTAATTCCTCACTGGTTTTAGAAAGGAGAGACTTTCACCCAGCCTCTGTGGGATATTTCAAGTGTAAGGGGAAGAAAAGGCTGTGTATTAACTATGTCCTATCCAAGAGCAGCATTTCCCATTAAATTCTGAGGGTGACAAACTCACTGTCCTGCATTTTTACAGCACACAAAGCTCCTCATGAACAATATATGAAGTCTAGGCACTGTTTTGATATTCTGTGAGACTCTTTCATATTTAACTATGATAACACTCTAATTCTCTTTTAATAGCTGATTTTTCCCCCAAATATGTCTCAATTGTTCATTTGGCCACATATCAGGCAAACTAAATATATCCAGAGGGTCATCAAATTATCACAGCATTTCAGACTGTTTAAACACTTTGAAATGTACATTACAAAATAATTGTTCAGGGCCATATTAACACTAAAATTATGTAAAGAGAGCTTTTATTTTCTATGTGGTATTTCTATGTGAAAAAGTTAAGTGTCAGGCAGAAAATAACAAGCAAGTGAAACATATTAAGACATTCACAATCCCAGGTGCTCTTTTGGCAGGTCAATTTGTGCAGCCCCAAGTAGGCCACGAATGTTCTCTCTCCATGCTCCATGACAAACCCTGTAGTCATCAGGTGTTGCTCCATGACAAACCCTGTAGTCATCATTCCTGGGTGAGAATCTGATGGGCAGAAGAAACCTGAAAGAGCCCTTCATGCCCACTTTTGTTTCTGAAGGAAACAATGATTTTTTCCAGTTGCTAACACTGCCTGTTTGTCAGAGAGAACAGATCTGGCCCAGTGTTTCTCTTGGATATGCTGCACAATGGCGTATCCTTTCATCATTCAGTTACTATTTCCACTTTGGTTTATGTGTCTATTTGCACATGTGGCTGTGCAGTCTCACCAAAACAGAGACTAGGGACAGAAAGCCATTTTCTCCACTAGCTACAGGGGAAACTTGCTATGCAAGCAGCATCCAGAGCAATCCATTAGTCATTGAGGTACACCTGCAACCCAATTAAGGGTACAATGTCCTGTGTTCCAGGAGGTTTCTGTGCTATTATGGTTGCTTTATATTTTGGTGACAAAGCTGGTTTCCCTATTAATCCTAAATGTAATAAGTCTATTTTTCAACTGGGAAACTGTTAAATGATTTTAAATAATGCTTTGCTCAGGTTCTAAAGGTCCTGCCTGTGGTTTTATACTTAAATTCTTTGGCTGGTAAAATAAAGCAGATATGCAAGTCACAGAGGTAGCAATGAAAATTCATTGCTGAGTTAATTGCTAAATAGTCACAGAAAAATAACAGCACTTGAGCTCCTCTTTCTGAAAGTCACCCTGAACAGAATTTCTGTTATTCTGTTTATCAGTTTCACACAATTGCAGCATGCCACACACCAGTGCCCCTGCCTATTTCTCAAATAAAACCTCCCCAGTAAAATACCTTTGGGTGCCAGGAACAACACTTTTGTCTTTGTTACTGCCACAGCCACCTCTGTCTTGCCCAGTGACTGAAATGGCTGAGTCCCCTTCCAGAAGGGACAGCCAGCACTACCACTGGCAGAGCAGCTCTCCACACATGCCCAGGCAGGAGGGATGCCTTTTCCAGGCAGCCAAGCAGAACCGCTCCATGGTTGTGATGCTGAAGAAGGTGCCCATTGGAACATACCAGACTGTCAAGCAACAGAGTGTACTTGCTTTGCAAATCAGCAAGAGCTTTTGAGGTCTGAGTTTACAACAAGAAATAACTCATTTAAACTTTTTCTCCTCAAAGACATTTGTGGATATGAATAACAAAAATCCACCTGACCCTGCCACACCACTGCATTTTACCTGTGTGAACTCAGTTAAATATCATACACCTGATGTAGTAGGCACATCAGTTGCCACCAGCTTCATCTTTCAGAGCCCTTCTCCAGCAAACAGCAGCATGAGGAATCCTCAGTGCAGCCACTCCAGAGGAATGGACGTTTGGTGTGTGCTAAGCCATGGGTATGGTTTGACTCTTACACGGCCATTCACTGCACTTCTATTAATCAAGCTGTATAAGAGAAGATTCCTGTTGCCAGGAAGTCAACAAAAGTTATATCAGATGCAAAAGACCAGAAGAAATCCAATGCATATTTTCAGAATTTTAAGATATCTGGATATTCTAATTTTTCCACTTTCATGTCACTCCTTATCTTTGCAGTCAGACTAAAGAAGAGTATTTTGCTGACAAAATGGTTTCAAAGACTGTGCTAATAGCCTCTTCTCTCCTTCTCTTCCAGGTGGTTGCTTCGGTTTCATGTGGTGCACTGTGCTGCTGTTGTATTTGTCTAGCAGGGCAGTTTCAAATGCTTAATGCTTTCAGTGTGTTAGTCAATTCTTTCTTTGTTTCACTACACACATAGATACAATGCCAGGGAAATGGAAATTTAAACTAGTCAGAGGATTTCTGAAAAATAGATGACATAAAAGTCACTTGCCGTAGTAAATCATATCCTGACATCTTAATGTCTTTCAGTAATGAGAAAATTCAAAGTTATTTCTAGTGACAATTGATCATACTACTACATTCTTCATGAGAAACATTAGATAAAATGGAAAAGTGTCATGTCCATCTGTTGAGAAAATACCTCTAAAGCAAGTGTAGAAGAAGACACCTTAAATCAATTGATGGAACCTTTTAATGAGATAAAATCAAGTCAGATTTGATCCTAAAATTGCACTGTTTATGATACTTGGACTTTGGAAAATATTTAGCTTAAAACCAAAACAATCCAGTCTATTTCCCTCCTTTACTTGCAAAGAGATTTGTTCTGCTTGGGTATGGCAACATGAAAGAAAAATGGTACAGAAGGCAGCCATAAACAAAGGAAAACTTCACACTGTAGAGTGTTCTTGCTGCTGAAGACAAAAGAAAAGTGTCATGAACAAAGAAAAAACCAGCACCTGAATTATTTTCAGGATATGCTTTTCATGCAACTTATACTTTTCATCTGAAAGCTCGATGGTGTATTTAACAGTATTGTTAACATCTTTCATGAAAATAGCATTTTCAAACCCACACTGCTCTTTCTTAAGGCGTATCAACTGAAGAAGACGAACAGCACAAAAAGAGGTAGAACCTTACCAGTATCTGAAGGCAGGGTGTCAGGAGGATGGAGCCAGGCTCTGCTTGGTGCCACCAGGCAATGGGCAGGAACTGATCCCAGGAAGTTCCACCTGAATATGAGGAAGAACTTCTTCACTGTGCAGTGACCAAACACTGGAACAGGTTGTCCAGAAAGCGTGTGGAGTCTCCCTCACTGGAAATATTCAAGAACTATTGGTCACAATCCTGTGCAATGAGCTCTAGGATGATCCTGCCTGAGCAGGGAAGTTGGACGGCGTTCCCTTCCAGCCTTACCTGTTCAGTGACAGTGTGGAGTCAGTGAATATTGTGCTCACTGCTGTGGGGCAGAGGGGGAGAAGTCACAGCCATGAGGGTCAGGAAGCATGTCTGTGGTCTCTGGTTGGAGTAACAGCAAAGCAAACCCCATTTTTGCAGTTACTTCAAACTGCAAAGGAGTTTTACAGGAGGCAGCACCCCAGCCACCATCCACTGTCAAGCACTTCTGTGGCTCTTCCAAGACTTTAGTTTCTGCTCCTCCTGGAAGCTCTCATTCTGGCATTCCCATTGCAGTGCTACAGCAGGGAGAAAGACTAATGAAAGGTTTCATGGGGGATTGAATGCGTAGCTGAAATTTATTACTGTTATCATATTTTCCTATGGCAGTCACCAGACAGGGCCTGGGGCCACTGTGATATAATCTGAACAGGCTTAAAGAAAAAGTTGGCCATGGACCCCCTGTGGAAAATACAGTTTTGATTAAGAATGTTTAATACTTAAATCTTATTTAGAGGCAGGAGAATTAGGTTTAAATCAGAAAGTCTTGAACGTACTCAGGCAAAGTTAAAAGTGGAATTCCTGATGCAAAATTGAAATCTCATGTGACATGGATGTCAGATGTGTCAGACAAGGCAGTAGAAAAGGAAAGCACATATTTACAAACATTTTGAGAGAAAAAAATATTTTCATAAACCAGATAAATAAAGAGCAAACCTGAAGACCTATATTAATTTATTTTATCTGTAGGACCCAATGCAAAATCTTAAACCCCTTGATTCAGTAAATCATATTGAATAATACTAAATTGAAACTTTCACTGTTTCCCTAAATTTTGTTAGCAGTCACTACTAGTATCTGTGCTTTGTTCTTCACAATCTATGATCTTGCTTTTACTGAAACTACAGGAAAATGAAGCTCCAAACTCGTGCTTTGTGGCACTCACTTTGTTAAGTAAAAAAATGTCTGTGCCATAAGAAATTTATCATTATTATGTCTTCACCGAGAGAAAAAAACATTATAGTGGGAAAGCCTTTCATCTAGAGCCACCCTGAAACTGTGATATTTGCATCACAATCTTGAACCACAGCCTAGTTTCTGTAAACATTGTGACTAACTCTGTCAGGCATCAATTCTAAAACAGTCCAGGAGATGCTTTTGTGTTTCTGCGTGTATTTGTGGGCAGAGCCACCTAAATCCCAGAGAGCCTCCTCTTTTCTGAGCTTTAGAGGGTGACACACCCCAGCAGACAGAGCAGTTATGGTTTGAGAACAAAGGAGCCAGGCTGCTGCTATGGGCTCAGTGCATCATAAATGCTCAGCAAGGTCACTGGGTTGTGCTTGGATGGTTAGACCATGCCGAAGGCCATCCTATTGTTTCCATCCCCTCCACAGCCAGCATATCTGCCCTTCTGATTGCAGACCTTACAGCAGCTCTTCCATCTGGTAATCCACAAAACCAGAATATGGTTTGTCAGGCCCAGATTCACTGGAGCAATTTTCACTCTTGAGGATTCTCCCACTCAAACCACCAGAGCTATTCTCATGACTGAAGGTCACACTAAGAGATTGAGGCAACTGAATTCTTTTAATATCTGACTTTTAGAAGGCGTTCAGAACACTCTGAGGTCACTGCTAAAATAATGTTTGCAAGGGAACTATTGCATGTAGGAGGGATTAATGAAAACAGTGGAGGAAATAAACACACATAAGGGAAAACAAAAGTAAGTTTTTCCTAAGGCACAGCTAGAACTACACAAAGGCAGTGCCTTGAACTTGCATCCTTGTTAACTGAGTGCATTCTAAGTGATATAATTGGCTGGCTGCAAATCAGAAAAGAGTAGATGGTAGCTGCCAAGGTTTGTTTTTTTAAAGGAAAAACATTGTAAAGAGATTTCAAATGGTGGCACGCTGTACAGTCTCCTTTTGTACAGAGTTGCTTTGTGAACATCTTGCAAACGATAGCAACACATTTCATCTTTGAGTCAGAACACTGGGAGAAATGCCAGGCTAGCCCAAACTGATTTGGGTACCTACATCACTTTCAGTAGATGTCTTCAGAGTGTAGATGCTGTTGAGATGCCTATAAAGAATGGGATGTGATGAGAATACACATTAGTGAATAGGAAAATGGCCCCTTCCATACATATACACATAAAACTACATAAAAACAATTGTTCAAAGGACTTTGCTAGGGTTGCTAACTGTATAAACTAATAGCCTTCCTTTTTAAATTTAGTTCAGTGATCCCTTCCAAGCATCATTTGCTGTGTCTCTTCCCTCCCCTTGGAATCTTACAAAGCCTGGAGGTGATTCCTGCAACCCCACACTCTGTAAGTCCTTTCTTCTGATGCTTCTCCCGCTCTTTGGCTTCCTCCTCCCACTTCTCTTCCCGCTCATGGACATCTCAAACCCAGTTTCCCTCAGTAGTTCCTTCTTTTGGAAACTCCAGCACTCTAAATCCAGTCTTCCTTCAGAAACCTGCTTAGCTAGTCCCTGCTGACAGAGGCTGAGGCAGCCAGCACACGCATCACCTCAGAAAGAACAAGTGAGTGGGACTGGTCCTTCTGTCCTGCCAGACTCTGTGGGACAGAAGGACCAGTCCCACCCACTAACATTAGTTGGACATCTAACTTTTTGTTGTCTTGGGGGACTTAAGACCAGGTTTGTCTCTACTGTGTGCAATATTTTCAAAGTTTTAGAAGATGTGTGCTACAAACCTCGCTACAGAAAGTTTGGATGTTTTTTAAGGAGGTTGAGAAAAGCAGCATTGATGACAAAATGTCACCCTTACTGCTGCATAGCAGCACTCTCACTGTTGGAGGCAGAGGTGATGAGATTTTTTTTTTTCCAGTGGAGAGAAATCCCTTTTTTTCTGTGCCCTCTTTTCTTGAAATAGCACAACACTTTTGCTGTACTCCCATCACCCATCATCACTTGCAGCATGCTATGAACTCCCAGCACAGATCACTGTCACCTGTACTGCAGGATCAAGTGCCTTAGCTGGAAAAGCAGCTGTCACTCTGACCCGTGAGAAAGGCAAACACTGGAACTGCTGAGAATAACTGTGAGGAGCCAGGAGCAGTTAAATTCAGCTGTAGTTATTCCTCACCTCTAAAAGACTCTGGCAGCTCTTTCCAGGAGACTCCATGAGGAAGATCTGCAGTGGGAAAGAAGCACTCCTTCCCCCCCATCCTTATTAAGACCTTGGCATCTCTCAGGGATAAGCAAGGCTGCTGCAAGTCTCCTGGTGAGGGAGCAGGACTGGCTCTGTAGATGTCTCCTTCTCAGTTACTTGACAGGTTGAAATTTCCCTAAGGAATCCAAGAAAAATAAGTTGAAATGAAGTGCTATAAATGTGAAACAGCGTGGATTTTTCTCAGGTAAAGACAGGGCATTTTGTATAGCCAAGGGGCTTTCTTCCTCCCAGATTTCAAAGGTCTCCTGTGCACAAAAGCAGTAGCAAACTGCTGAAAGAAAGGTTACATGCATTTAAAATGTAGGCTTAGGGAACTTAGCTATAGGAGTTATTCCTGGCTCCCACTAAGATTCTAAATATACTATTCTTTGTGTGTGAATTTTACATATGTTCTTGTTAAAAGAAAGGTCATACTGTGAGTTTGCTGTATTTTTACATTTCTGGAAGTAGTGGATTCCAGAGATGCAAATTTTCCCTTTAAAATACTACCAACTATCACAATTTTTTGCCTGAAGAAACAGCATCTTTGGCTGTTTCCAGCTGATAGCTACAGATCAGTGCTGTTTGAACATCGTTTCATCTACTGAGATGGCTCTAAGTGAGCAGAGTTGATGGTTTTGTGGAGTTCTAGCTGTCTGCTCCAGCTGAAAGCTAGTTGTCTGCTTCACTGGAGATATAAGCTGAAACAGCTGATCAAGACTGAGATCTTATTTGAATAGTTAAACACTGGCTTCATCTGAGCATTAACTAATTTGCATGGCAAAATTCCAATTTACCATCTATCACTTAAATGACAGCTTGTGAAACAGTAGTTCAGTGTACTTCACTTGCAGTGTTAGATTTCTATTCAAATCAGGAGAGGAAGCATATGTGGAGTGTGTGTTGGGGCAGTCATTGTAAAACACACACAACACGCATACTTAACACCAAAAGCTTCAGATACAAAATGCAGAATATAAATACAGAAATTATTCTGTTCCATTAAAAAAAATCCCCAACAAGCAACACAACAAACAACTAACTTTGAATTTAAGAGAAAAAAAAATATTTAAAACCTTCTCTTAATCCATAGGACCAGATGCATGTGGAAAATATAAATTTGTTTCCATGAGCATAATAGAAGCATTCCACTAACTTATTCCTCAGAAACTACAAACATGCCACACATACACAACAAAAAAAATGAGATCTACCCATTTTCAGGGAATGCAAAAAGTCTTGTGCTTGTTTCTTGGTTTGGGGTAGCTAAAGGACCCATTTACAGAAGAAGTCATTAAAGGTAATCCAAAATCTGCTTCTATGCATTGTCACACTGCTGTCACTCAGGTGCATTGGTCTCAGAAACTGGAGGAGATCTCCTATCTGAAAACATTATCTGCTTGGGGAGTATATGTATCCATTACAAAGCCAGCATGGTTTAAGTCTGTAAATTGACAGCTTAAAATAGGAGCAATTTTGGGGAATGGGAGCAACGGTGACCAAAGCACTGTTGCATTCAGACTTTTATTGCAGAGCCAGACACCCCTCTGAGGTTACTCAGAGCCTTATTACTGCAGAGCCTGGGCACCCTCGGAGGCCCCCTCAAAGCCAGGAGGGTAACACAGCCTCCCATCTGTCACTAGAAATTGAGAAAAAGATGCATTTTGAATTCAGGGAGGTTTAAAATTGTTTGGTTTTTTGCTGTAGGGAAAATCTAAATTGATTGCTACTCTGTTCCATATCAGGGTTAAGCAACATAAACAAAATTCCCTCTGAAACAAACATGTTTTCTCACCATTGTCCCAAGTGCTTCTGCTGCCTTGGCTACCATGAAGTACCTCAGTTTTGGGCTATAAAGACATTCATGGCACAGCATCATTTTCACTGTATTTGAGACACTGTAAACTCAAGGAGAAATCTGCAGAAAATAATTGGGTTTCAGCACTGTGGAGTTAAGCCAAGCGGAGCGGTCAGTAGGAGGCTGGTGCAGAGCAGCACAAATACAACTGTTCTGCATCACTTGGCCCTGAGGGCAGGGAATTGCTGGTCTTGGAAGCCATTCCCAGTGCTGATGTGCCCAGTGCAGATGCTCAGTACAAGCCACTTTTACACCAACGTAGCATATCCCCTCTTTTGTATGCGAGTCACAGGCATGAGCCTCCCAAGAACCTTTTCTGTGTAGAAATAAACGCAGCCTTTCCCCAAACCAGATCCCAAGCATTACAGCAATACCTCTCTGGGTATCCTTGCAGAGGTGATTCTACAGCACCAGCAGATGCTCGGAATCCTGCAGGAAGTGGAAACAAACCCACTTTCTTCTTGAAAAGCCAAACAAGGTTGAAAACTCTTGCTCAGATTTCCATGTAAGAAACCAGAGAGCTCCTGGTCAGAGAAGAACCACAGGTTTTTGCCAACATATTCTGTGTGGGATCTGTGCTGATGCGGGTTCTTCCCCTCAGACTCACTCTTGGCCTGGGCACAGCAAGCCAGCAGTCCTTGCCCCAGGATGGTGGGTTAGCCAGGGCAGGATAAACCAGCTCCTCCTGCCCTACAATCCTTAGAGCTGGTGGAGAGAATTCCTCTTGCTGCTGCTTCTAGTGACTCTGGCCCAGTGGCCACAGCTGCCAAACCCCTGTGCCACTGCCTTCCTCAGGCTCTCAGGTGCCTGCAGGAACCACAGGGCAGTGGGGCTCCTTCCTCTGGTGTTCAGCTCCCTGAGGGACCTAGTTCATAAGCTCTCAAGCGTGTTTTTCTTTAAATAGTACCAGGCATAAATAATAGATGATGGGTGCAAGAGATGCCTTTAATTTCATGGGGTCTAAATGCCAGTGACACACACTGGTGGAACGGGGCTGTTTGTATTCCATATGGGAGAATTCCAGGAATTTGTTGCCGTGTTTATACATGCTGTGGCGCCACTGATCTTTTTAAGGAGGTGGATCAAACAGCCTTTTAGCTGTTTTTCCATCAAAAACTTAAATACATGATCTTAAAAAAACTTATTTGCACAGAATCTTAACCTGGAATTATGGATGCAAGTAATAATTGAAGTTATGTTTTGCCAAAAAACACAGGATAGTCAACTTTTTCCCATTTCACAGAATCATGGAAGGATTTGGATTGAAAGGGACTTTAAAGACCATCTAGTTCCAATTCCCCTGCCATGGTAAAGGCACTTTCCACCAGACCAGGTTGCTCAGAGCCCCATCCAACCTGGTCTTGAACACTTCCAGGAATGGGGTATCCACAAGTCCTATGGGCAACCTCTTCCTATGACTCCCAGTAAAGAATTTTCTCCTAATATTAAATATTTCATACTCAAAATGCTGAATTTGGCATTGAATTTTTTTTTTAATGTGAGAATTCTCCTCACCCCATTCACCTGGGTAGATCATTATGAGGAGCTGTGCAAGTGTCTTGTGCCAGAACTACTGCAGTAGGAAAATTCTGCCCTCTGCGTGTGTGTGTTTGTGCTGGAATGTGTCTGGTTCCAGTAAGACTTGTATTTAAAAAAATTAAAAACATGTGGGAGAAAAATCAGTTCTTAAAATCTGTGGTCACATTTCAATATTTTCATTCTTGCGAGACACATTTGGAAGAGGAAATTAAGAAACCAAAACCAAATACACACAGATGAGGGAAGAATGAGCTTAGATGCAAACATGCGACCCTCAAAGAGCAGATGGAAAAAATGCAGCAGCCCTGTATTTGCCTCTGAATTTAACCATCACTTATGATTAACAGGTAATCACAAAACCACACAAAAAGTGTGCCCTGTTGACACGTTCTTAATGCACCAGGAAGGCGCTGGCGTTCTGTGGGCTGTTTGCTTACAAAGAGGAACTGCTCCCTCTCCCAGAGGAGATGGGCATCTTGCCAGTGTTTTATTTTCAAGTGCCATTGTTCACCTAGGGCTTTAGCAGAAAAGCTTTTGCTTATTTGTTACTAATCCTAGCCTAAGTAATGATCTCTTTAAATCCTTTTACATTTTAAAACAGATTTATCAGACGATGACACCAAACATAATGTTCCCCCAAAACTCTGGCATCTATTTTTTCATTTAATAGGTAATTTTATAATTCACAGATCCATGGATTGCTTTATTGGTTCATGAAACGTTTCAAGGAGCATTACTTCATCAAAATATAAATTTTACTCAGGTTGTGAGGGCTCTTTTCCACATGTTTTTGTTAATTAAAATCTTGACAGCAGAGCAATAGAGAGCAACAATTTTTGTTGCATACTTTATCTGTGAATCTTTGTAAAATGTTGGTGTTATATATTATATATATATATACACACACCATTATATATATGTGTGTGTATATATATATGCTGGTGTCATCATTACATTATTCAGACATCCATTAGATACAACGCATATTTTTGATAAGTAATACAGTATTTTTAGTAAAATAATATTATTTTGTCTTCATGATTTGGTATAAATTCATGGTATAACCTCGACCAAAGCCAGTTTGAGGGACCCACTGTAACCTGATCCCATTATTGGTAAATGATGCTGTGAATATCAGCTGGCTACTTCTGTAACTCTGCCAGCCTTCCATAGAGTGCTGCCAGTCTGTAATCTACTCTGTGAAACAATTCACCTGCCTTTTCACTAGCCTGGTGTCAATAGAAAACACTTGCCCAGGAGTTTGCAATGCACACATCTCAAAAGATTAGACTTTTCACAAGTGTTGGAATAAGGCAATTGATGTAACAACAAATACCAGCACAAATCCATCCAATCTTCAGCAGTGCAGCTCTCAAGAAAATAAAAAAGTAAAAAAATCCCATTATCTACTTATATAAAATATTTCAGCAGATTATTTAAATGCCTTGTGGAAATGAAGATTTGCTTGAAATCTCTGTGCTTCCAGCCAGCAGTGCCAAGTACAAGAACACCCCAGAAACTGTCAATGCAATTTTGTGCTTCCAGTCTACACAGAAACCATTACCTCATGCCAGAAAAGGAAAAATGAGAACACAGCATCTCTATACTCTGCTTAGTTTTGTTTATCTTTGTACGAAGAGGGCTTACCTTTCAGCATCCCAGCAGCAAATATCAGAAGATGAAACATTTCCATAACTTACACCAATTGGCACAAACCCCACAGGATCTGGAAGGGGAAGCAGTGGGAGTGAAGAAAGATCTGTCACATGGGACAAAGAGAAGGACATCCAGCTTCCTTGCTTCCAAAACCCTGATAGCCTCTCAGTCCCCCCTAAAACCAGTAGACTAAACCATACTGGTAAGGTATATTATCTTAGCAAAAATTCACTTCCTTTTCAATTACATTTAATTTCCACTTCATCTCTCCCTTATATTTATTCCACAAACAAGCCATTGTGTTATTAATGATTCAGAGTTTCCCAAATCCATATGTTTTATGGATTTTATGTCAAAGTGGACTCATAATACTTTAATGAGGAAAAAGTATACTATTTTACTGTACTCACATCTTACAGTACCCAGCCAATAGGCCTGTAAGCAACTTTAAATCTTTCTGTAACAGCACCATGGAGATCACAAAAAAGAAATAGGCATTACCAGCATGCTCTGGCCCCCACCCCTCAAAAAGATTGATATTTTCCAGCAAGACCTTTTTTGAGAACTGGTATGATTTTAGCAAGTTCTTAAATCCTCTCCTATGGTTGTACACCTACATACAAGGTGTAAGAAAATCCTTTAAGATTTGGTAGCAAGCAGAAATCAGGTAGATAATAAAACAGGGCTACCAGTCACATTAGCAGTCAAGTGACTTTGATTCGCCTTATTTTTTCTGAAGACATCTAGCTCCTCTGTGCATGTTCAGAGATTTAGCTATTCACATATTAGAATGACATATTTAAAGTAGTGAATTTCACATTAGCAATGCAGATGGAGGAACGAATAATCTTGGAAAATTACATGGTGGGAAGGATGGTGTTGCAGAGTAGGATGAGAGTTGGAAATCCTAGATAAATCAGAGAAGAAGGTTAGTAGAGGGCAGGCAGAATGGTAAAAGCAAACCCATAGAATTAGAAAAAGAAGGAAAAACTACCATGGAAGAGAAGACTGGAAGACATAATAAAGAATGCGGGGGAAAGCTGAAGTTAACAGATAGAGATTGGCAGCTAGCAGAAACATTAAAATGTTCAGAAAGCAGCATTTCAATGACACTAATTAATAAGAAATGTGTTCTTATGGACAAAGTTGATGCCATTTTTCTCACAGAATAGCTTACCAGGGCTCTGGCCCCCAGCCCTCCAGTTTTGCCAATCACTTGCTGGTAGATTAGGATACCAAAATGCCTCCTTGTACCACTTAGGTTAAGCTCTATTGTACACACACAGGCACACAAACAGAAAAGTGCTGCAATGGCTGCTTAGGAGATAAGGAATTTGTATAAAAGAAAAGGGTAAGACTGGGGAGGGGGAGAGAAGGGATAAGGAAAAAATCTCAGGGAAAAAAAAAGCAAAGACATTCAAGAGACATCAGTCTTGAAATTAGCAGCTCATTAATTCTCAGCTTATTTTCAGTCTCTGTGGAGATTTACCATATGTGACAGCTACTCAGCCTGGGAGCCCGATTAGAGCAGTTTTCCAACCACCAGCAGCCTAAACTGCCACCCCAAAGCCTCATCATTTTCAGCAAAGTTTGATGGGCTGGTTACCCATGGTTAACAGCCACGTTTGGTGCACTCAGTTCCACCTGGCCTGCTATTTTTCTCATATCAGTGCTGACAGGTGAGCCTGATTATCATCCGATATCCACCTTGCTGCTGCTCGTTTGGACAACAAAGATAGCAAGTGAACTGAAAGAAAATTCCAGGAAAAGTAATTGAAGAGAAATTAAAAATTTCAATAGACTTTTCCTGGAAATTTGCCTACAAAGCATATTGTTTACATATCCCCCTGCATACAGAAGTTTGAAATCATATCCCAGGATGCCTGCTGCTAATATTTGAGCCCCTGCCCTGGCCAGGTTTCTCACAAAGCTCCTGGATGCTCTAGGCCAAGATCAATTTGTCAATGCCAGGTTGTATGATGATTTATGACTACAGCTGAGTGAGGATGCTGGCCATGTTCTGTCTCTCCCTAACTAGCTGTGTTGAACTCAAGCCATCTCCAATCCCTTACAGGCTATGTGGGTGCAAGCTCAGAGAGGCTGAAGCTGTTTGTTGAATTTCCAGGTATAACTTTTGTACTTGAAGGAAAATTTTGGAACAGAAAACGTGAAACTGTTCAAAGCTGTACACTGATTAAACTTTGTAAATGCAACATATCACAAAGGGTGACAGGCTTGTCTAGGAGATGTGAAAAAGCTTTTTAAAGTCATAATTTTATTTGGCCAGGATTTTTCACATCACACGAGTTACCTAAGGAAGGAGCATCTGAACATATACCAGATACACCTGTAAAAGTGGCAACAGGTATCTTAACAGGTAACTAGGTGCAGGCAACCTTTAATTTAGACTGCTCTGGATGAACATTAGGCTCTTTCCTTAAGCAAAGAAGTAGAGGGGGACCAAAGAACAAAATAATATATTTTTTAAAAATATAAGGAAAACTGAAGATAAGAAAATTAAGAACACTAAAGCCAGAATACATTAAAATGCTACAGTCCAGATGGTAGGAAATAATAAATTTAAGAACAGTGATGTGAAAAATGAATTACATGAGTAAGAAAGGTCCAGGTGGCTTGTATGGACAGGATGAGACAGGCATTGCACTCTGAGCAAACCCCACTTATTGTTTGGAAGTGTTATAGGTAAGATGCTGCTAAAGTGTACGAAAGGATAAGACCCTGTCTGACAGTGAACTAATGCCTGCTCAAACTACTTCTCTGAAGGGAAACTTTATTTGTTTTTCTGAATAAGAAATTCCTTTCTGAAGAGATGTGAAAATTGGCAAAAGTTCAAGTTCTGCAAAGAGAACCAGGAGATACAGCTTCTTTTAGTAGTACTGGCCAATTGTTATTGTTTTTTGGTTTCTTTTTTTCAGTGCAGCCATCCAAGAATGCTTTATCAGCAGGATTGTGTTGATAATAGGCTACACCTCAAGTAAGATCAATGTGAGTCTATTGCAGGGAAATAGAAGAAAAAAACTAAAAAAAAAAAAAAAAAAAAGAAGACAAACAGAGGAAAAAAGTTATTAACATTTCCTCAGAATCACAGAATCCACTAGCAAGTCAAAGTTGTAACAATTTCATTTCAGAATAAAAAAATCAATGCTGAAGAAGGATGAAACAACAGCTACCATGGCTGCTTCAGGTGTTATGATACCATTATAGCACAATAACCTTATTATTCACTGTAGCTTTGCATGTCTTGAGCACCTGTGACAAGTTTTCCTGAATCTGTGCACAGACAAAACCTCAAATTAAATCTGACAAACACAGAAAGTGTCTTGGGCTAACTTGACCTTCCTTTGCAGTTGTTCATTATGCATTTGTTCATTACCTACTCTTTTTTGTCAACAGCATAACTCACCTTCCCTGTAGATTGTGTTTATTGAGAGCTGATAGTTACAAGTGCTGACATTTGGCAGGTTTTATATACCTGGAAATTAAAAGAAAAAGAACCTGACAAAGACATTGTAAATAACATGAGAGAACCTCTCTACACCTGTACACTATATAAAGGCAGAGGGAAATTTAGTTGCTCTATTTTCAGGGGCTCTTTGTGGTGCTCAATTCTCATTGTGTGAGTGCTAATAGATGTGCAAGCACATAACTGCAGATATAATGTCAAAGTCATCCACATTACAACAAGGTTTCAGATGCTCCATAATGAAGGCTTCATCAGAGAGTGAAAATTATTGGCTCCCCTGTTGATGACTTCTACAAAAATCGTAAAAGTAGAAAGTTTGCCAGCTGGATTCATCTTTCTGTGCACAGTCATTTATGAAGCTTTGAAATTTTAACCATTGGCAACAATGCTATAGTTGAAAAAACTCCAAGAATATCTGTTCGATGACAAACAATGGCCTGCTAAATAGAGACACGCTGTCCTGACAGCTCCAGCTTCAGCTACATGGCATGATATGTGCCAGCAAAAGCAGGGAAGACATTCTGTGGCATCATAAAACTGCTTCCAAAAATGAGCACCCTGCAGCTATTAGAAACTGCGTGAGAACCACCAAATGTCAGCCTCATGCTCAACCACATTCAGTTTAATAAACGGATTTAAGAAAGTGAACAGCATAAGATGCTTCAAAACACCCTTAAGACTACAACAAAAATATTGAGTAGCAGAGGGGAAAAAACCCATCTATTTACCATTAAAAAAAGGAGAATTTTGTGTCTCTTTTTTTTTTCCCTGGGACCAATTAAGAGCATTCTGTCATTATTATTGTCAGCACTAGGAACAGTTTACAAACGATAATCAATTCACTGACACATCCTAAAACTGATAGTCAGAGGCCTGCATTGAGAACAGACCTACATTGTTTTGGTTTTTAACATAATGCAATTTTTTCTGAAATTTTCTTTTCTGAGCAAGTATTTAAATTCATCCAAATCTAAGGAAAGAGCATAGACTGTGGGCAAAAGGAGAATTTCTGTGTCCTAGGTCCATAATGTGCCACAGAATTGTCTAGGAACATAAAGAAGAATTATTTTTTGTCCTAAAAACTGTTGTTGAAATAATGTATGTCCTCTTATTCTCCCCTCACTTTGCTTTTCTTCTCCTTGCCCTCCACTCCCATGGCTGCTCTGCGTGTCACCAGAGAGGTGCCAGGGCACGCACAAAGACATCCCTCTCAAAACAAACATTTCCTGGGTTATGACATGTATTCACAGAAGGGTGCTGAGTTTACCTGGATTTTTTTCGGGTTTTTTTTTTTTTTTTTTTTTTTTTCCCAAGAATGTTGCTACTTCTGTAAAGGTATGTGAGACTCCCTTGTCCTATAAAATTCCATATATCGGCCCAAGCAGGACTTTCTCATCAGAGCAATTGAGTTTCAAAGTAAAGTTTCTTCACCCAGAAAACTCTACCAGAAATATTACCAAATAATGTAATTCTATGATCCAATTAATTAAGGAAAAAGTAGTTGTACAAGTACTGTAAGGTTTTACTCTCAGCTAGAGTACAAGGGTACTTAACAGATCTCAGAGGTCTAGTACTTTTACCGTTAAGTTTCCAATTAACTAATTGACATCAGTTTCTATTAAAATCATGCCTCCTAAATCCCTCCATGAAATTAAGAGTGGAACATATCAGCAATGAAAAGCTGAAAATCATACCTATTCTCCCTTATGGGTCTAGAGGAGACTGCAAAGTATATAAAAATACAGAAAAGGTTATTCTTTGAATATTCTTAGTGATAAGTGTTGTGAAATCACTTGGGGTTTGGGTAACCCTCAAAAGATCTAGAGGAACATATGAACTATAATAGAAGGGAATTTAAAGCCCCATGTTTGGAAACAGGTTTTTAATGTACCCAAACATTTGTGTAGAGAAAATCAGAATGTGTTTGCATGTCCCAGGGCTGCAAAGTGCACAGAGTAGAAAGACAGTCCTTTGACGGGCAAAAATCTGCCCATACATGACAGAAACTAATCCTTCATCTTGATTAAAGGAAAGACTAAAATTTTCCCCCAGATTTCACCAGACCCATGATGTACCTGCAGCAGGTCATCACTGTTCAGAGTGATGTACTGTTCCAGCTGTTTTGAGGTGCATTTCTGTGCTCCTGCTGACACAGGGAATCACAGCAGACAGGGGTTGTGACACACGGCCGAAATCCTTCTGCAACTGTGATCATTCCCCTGGATTTCCCAAGCTCTGAACACAGGGCTGAGCCACTCAAATCAGGACTCATCAATCAGTGGTTTTCCCTTAGTTACAAATGCTCTAAAGGCACCCAGTGACCTAGTTTAAACTTAGACCTCATATTCCACATAGATATAATATAAAGTGAACTTTTATACATCCCTGAGTGTGACGTGGCTAAGATAGCTTTCTGGGCAAAGAAGGACAAAAATAGAAAAGCCTTATTATATGCCTAACAACAAGGTGGAAAATATGCAGATGAAGTTTATGCCTGGTGGGAAAAGAGAAGGAAGAAGGAGGTGGGTAGACTGAAGGTAGTTTGAAGACTGTGACAGCAGAGTAAATACAAAATATTTATTTATCAGTGTCTGCAATTCACTGGGAGATTTGAGGGACTGGGAAAGGAATGGCAGAGGTTTATTTTAAATACAAACTGGAGTGGGTGACTGTCATTTTAAGACTGGGAGCAGGGGAGACAGGTCTGCAGTAGCTTGGGAGAGTAAAGTGTTTCAGGCAATTGGTGATTAATTGTACTCTGCTATGCCACATCTCTTTCTATTAAACCTTAGATGGCCAAATCTGTTTCCTAATTGTTTTTGTGTTTCTCAGTCGTCTTTTGTCTTGCATAGGAGTAGGCAATTTCTGTGCCATCAATATCTCATTAAGGTGCCTTGGATCTGAAATGCCTTGCTTTGTTTTTAATTTTGTTTTCCAGGCTTTTTGCTACATTTTATGACATGGCATTTTTTGTTTGCTCGTTGCGGTCCATTTAGTCTCTGGCATTCCCTTTCCCCAGGTTATAGCTTTATTTGTTTCTCTGCCTGTTGGCACTCGAGGTGTATGTAAATTATTGTTGCATGCTTCAACTTCACCACCTATTGCTCTTCATTTCCCC